CCCGCCTCGGCCTCCCAGAGTGCTAGGATTACAGGCGTGAGCCACCGCGCCCGGCCCAGCCTAATTTTTTAAATATCCTTTTGGAATTTTTATTGCGATTGCATTAAACTCTAGTATAAGTTACAATTAGTTGGGGTTTTTTGTTTGTTTGGTTGGTTTTTTTTGGAGACAGGGTCTCGCTCTGTTGCCCCCTGGAGTGCAGTGGCGTCATCATAGCTCACTGCAACTTCAAACTCCTGGCCTCAAATGATCCTCCTGCCTCAGCTTCCCAAAGTACTAGGATTACAGGCATAAGCCACCATACCTGGCCCCAGAATTAGTTTTTTTTTAATTTGAGTACATGATGTCTATTTGTTCAAACTTTCCTTTGAGTCTTTCAGAAGTTTTTGGTTTTCTTCATATAGACTTTGTGAATTTCTCATGTTTAATCCTAGATATTTCCTCTTCCTTGTTCTTAAAAGTTGTATCTTTTCCTCCTTTGTATGACTAAAAAGTGACCACAATAAACAAAGTCAAAAAAAAGATCTGGGAAAAATATAATGTTGCATCACATCAGACAAATGGATAATTTTACTAATATATAAAATTTATGCTTGTAAAGAATGCTGTTCTGGTTCTCTATCACTGTAAAAGAAATATTCCAAAACTTAGTAGATTAAAACCACCACCATTTTGTTATAATTCATGATTTTGTGGGTCAGGAATTTGAGCAGGTTCTTAGCTGAGTGATTCTTCTGCTCCAGAAGACATATCTAAGGCCATGGGATGTATCTTTGGAAGACTGGCCTTAGTTGGGTCCTTCATCCCTATGTATGTAGCCTTGGCCCTCAGCCTTTGCCACCTGGCCTCTCTAGCAGGGTAGTACACTTTCTCATATGGCAGCCCTGGCTCTAAGAAGCCAGTACTCTTCTTTTTGTTTGATTTTGAGACAAGGTCTCAATGAGCTGCCCAGGCTGGTCCTGAACTCTTGGGCACAAGTGATCCTCCTCCTTCAGTCTCCCAAGTAACTGAGATCACAGGCATGTGCCACCATGCCCTGCTTGAAGCTACCAGTGCTCTTAAAGGCCAGGCCTGGAATTAGTGTTGTGTAGTGTTCACATCCAGGCCAGATTTAAGAGCTTGAAAAATAGAACCCACCTCTTGATGGGCAGTGTGTTAAAGAATTTACAGCCATTTTTAATCTGACACAAAGACCCAAAATTAAAGTTGGCAATGGTTGTGAACAATCAATTTGTGGCAAAGGAAATAGGAATGATCTTTAAACATGAAAAGATGCAAACTACATTGATAGTTTCCCCCATTAGATTGGCAAAGATCAAAAAGTGGTGGTAATGTACATTATTAAACTCTATTTCTAGCTATTTATCCTCCAGATAAACTTACATGTGAAGTATTATGTAATCATTGTAGCACTGTTTAAAATATCAAGACAGGAAACAACCTAAATGTCTATCAATCGAGACTAGCTAAATTATTGCATATTCATAGAGCATAATGCTATGCAACTTCTTCAAGATTGTTTATTTACTTTTATTTATTTTTGGGAGAAAGAGTCTCGCTCTGGGCCCTTTTATTACTACCAAAATTGAAAACCATCACTCAAAACTAAATATATAATTGTTTTGGCTTTTGTGAAAAGTTGATTCAACTTGTTGGGACTGCTTTTAGACTACCAACAGGAAAAATCTATGTTCTTTGGTAGCTAATAAGTTTATATGTATTCTTATAACAATTCAAAAATACCTTCATGCTTGGAAATTTAGGTCTTTTTAAAATTTTTAATTTAGAGATGGAGTCTTGCTATGTTGCCCAGACTAGTCTTCAACTCCTGGCCTCAAGCAATACTCTGGCCTCAGCCTCTCGAGTAGCTGGGATTACAAGGCGCCAGCCACCACACCTGGCTCAATGCTTGAAAATTCTAAAATGTTGAATCTAACGTTGCTTTTAAACCCTCCCTCTTTTAAAAAATTAACAGCATCACTTGAGTTACAATGATAAGGACTAAGTATCAGTGTCAGAAAAAACCCTCACCTATATACATGCATCTTACCTAAAAAAGCACATGTAGCTAAAGCTCAGCTCATTTGTGGGTAAGTTTGGCAATATGTCCTTATGAAAGGTTTCTAAAGCCAAATAATACCTGGGAAATTGGGGCACTTACACAAAAGGCCAACAACATTCTCACTGGCCTCGTGTCAAGGTGGATCCCAAGCTAAAGTGATGTAAGTAATTAAGGTTACTTAATTCACAACATCAAGACGTTCCTACACCAGTTTTATTTAAAACACAAATACGTATTTCTGTAAGGGCAAATGGTTCAAATGATGCTGAACACGAATCATTGACTAATACAAGTGCTTTAAATATGAAACAAAATTATTTTTAAAAAAGCAAAAGAATAAAGTTTATATACAAAAGGGACTTGGAATCTATAAGCTGATTCCAAAAATCAAATGAGTAGAAAATCTGTGGTGAAACCAGAACATTCCACCCCTGCTTTGGAGAAGGGCTATCATACAACATTCAGTCAGCTGAAGATGGATTGGTAGAGGTGTGTCTATACATAAATTTCAAGTCATTTTTGCTTGTGCAGAATCATCTGGATCTTCCCAAGACTGAATGGCAGTCCTGTGGCTTTCCTCCTTTTCCATATTCCCAACAAGGCTACATGAAGTTCAACTCTTGATGAGCCGCTTACAACAGCAGTTCCTTAGGAGCCAACATGACAGGTGGGTCAGATTTCCCTATGAGAAACGAAACTGGCCACCTACAGCAAAATTATCAAAATGGACAAGTCCTTCTTTTCTCCTCCTCCTGATTGTGTACAATGTCTCCTTTAAGACTATTAGCCCCATCATGCTTGTTCCTTCACATGTCTAAACCTTGAGGTGAAGGAGACTAACATCAAGAAAAGAAAATTCAATTCAGAAATGAAGAAAACTGGCAGGTATACAATACACCCCCGAGCATCTCAATAACTCTGCTACAGTACAATTCAGTGTACTGCTATGGTCCAAAGATAAATACTGGCAGTTCAAATGAGTTCATTTTTGTCCCTCAGGTAGTTAAAGGGCACCAAATAAATACTGGGCAAGGAGTTTGCTGGGAGAATTAGAAATAAAAAAATTAACCAATTTTTGTCCCTGTGACAATTCAATGCCAGTAGGAGGCAAGTATTGAAGAGAAGGGACAATTTTCATACTAAAAAAAAATAAAATTCTCTAACCACATCACCATCTCTTCTAATGAATCCAGAGAGTCCCAGAAATAGAAAATTAGTTTCAGGGGACCCCTGAGGCACTTTAAAGCCTTAAAAAATTACAGTAATAATAAATTAGATATTGCTCTTCAGAGGCTGAGCAGCGGAAGCATCAAAATCAGGTTCAAAGAGTTATGTCCATTTTATTGGTTTCCTGAGCTGCTCAGCCCTCTTTAAAGCTTAGTTGACGCTCCAATTACCTTTAAAAAGACATACAATTTAACACACACTGAGTCGGTTTTTTTGTTTAGTGGTAGCATGAAATTTGGTCCTTAATGGTAGCAGCTGTCTTCATCCATTTCAAACTCAGGTAAATATTAAGTACATTAAGACAATACATAAAAGAAAGAATACAACGAATGGGGAAAAAGCCAAAACTGACAAACACCTCAAGGAGTCACTAAGTTCTCTTGCAGCACCCTTTCACTTAGATCTCCTTCTCAGTCTCTTTTTTGCGGAAAGAAGGGTATGACAGAACTTTTTTCTCAAAGATACTAAACGATGGCATCAAATGGACAAAAGGGTTATCGAGTGACTTTAAAAACCTGACCCCAACGAGTCCAGGACACAGACAGATAATTCAGAGGTATACTTCTGATATGGGGCAAATTCTAGACTAAAGAAATGATCATCTCAGATAAATGTTATAATAGATGAAACTAAGTCCAGTTTTTTGGCGAGTTTTTTTTTTTTTTTAAAGTGTTCTCACTACCACCTTCAGCTGTCAATCATTTCTGATAGCTCAAGCAAAAGGTCATCTTCATCCTTCCCAGGATCCAGGTCGATCTCAGCTTCTAATTTGCCTCCTGAAATCTCCCATATTAGTTTCTCAAAATCATCCTCCATGGAGAGCGGGGGCTTTCCTGTCGAGGCAGAGCTGAGTCGGCGAGTTTTTGTGGCCATCTGGGATGAGGAGGGGCCAGATACCTCTGAGGGTGAGAGATCTGAAGAAGACTGGGTTGGAGGCAGTGTAAGACTGTAAGAAAAATTAAGATTATTAGAAAACTGCCCTTTTTCAATAGTTGCCTGAATCACCTAGGCTCAGGGACACAGAGTTATTAGCAAAAGGTTGTTTCTGAGGACACATGTAAAAAAAATTCTTTACTAGTTTGGGACCAAGCATTTTTATAATTTAAAGTAGAATTCAGCCAGGTGTTAAAAATATCTTTTAGATAATATAGACAAAATATAAACAGTGGCACCACTGGAGAATGGCAACTCTGAATTTTCATGCTTTGTTGCAATTAATTTGAAGTCAAGCAGATTTATTTAGATATGGTTAAACTGTTTAAAGTTATTTATCAGTGTTATTCTCTAGAGATCATAAGCAGTAACAGTGGCCTAGAGTTTGGTTGGAAAGAATTACAAAGTATTACCTGTCTCTAGGTTTTTCTGCCTCAGGCACAGTGACTGATTTGTCCTCAGAGAGGACTGGGACAACAGCCTACGAAAGGAAGGGTAAAGTAAAGTAATTCAGTGGGAGAGTCAGGCTTTTTTATTTGAGTATATTCACTTTCTTTTGCTGCCTTCTTAAAAAGATGGCTATCATACTTTAAGCCTAGGAACCCAAGAATCAATAATTTAAAGGCTGAATGTACAAATAAGCAAAATATCCTGCCACCCAAAAATTAGCCTTTAAAAAATCCTGTCCTGCCGCTTCACAAATCTCTAACTGTAAATGTAAAACACAGTAACAACCCAAACAACTGAAATGCTAGGAAATGCCATGAAGTGTTACACACAGAGAGCTGGTAGAGAGTTAATCTCTTCTGCTTCCCTACCACACAGAATAAGCACCACAGAGATGGATCTACTTCCTACCACAGCTGCTTTTTTGGCCGGGCTTTCCTGGAGCGCGCTGCTGGAGCTGAGCGGCTTCACAGCTGCAATGACGGCAGGATGCACCTCCATCGCCTTGCGTTTGGGGGCCAACTTGGGGGATGACACAACTTTAACCACAGATGGCTTCACATTTACTTTGGGTTTAACTACAAGGGACAGAAAATATCTGATTAACAGCCAGAATAAACTCTCTTTTATATGGAGGATAACACAGAATAAAATAGCAAAAATCTTTCAGTACTAGAAATACCACAAATTAAAAAAAAACCTGACTATGATCCATATGTAACTTGTACTACAGGTGGTCACCATGTAGATACACATACTCAAACGACCCCTTTCAATGCCGCTTGAATTTGTCACTGTTCTTCTATTTTCTGTTTTTCTTCTTTAAAACCAGAGGAAACATGCACCATAGAAAGTTTTAGACAAAGCTTTTTAAATAGCAGTTTTAAATTCTGAGAAAGGAACTCTAGTTTTGTCTTTGTATAAAAGTATCAGAAATATTACTATCCACGAGGCAAATGAAATTCAACCCAACTGTTGCCAGAGAGTTTTTAAAACTTGGTAATTTTGATATCCTAAAGCAAGACATAGTATAAAGAACACTCACCTTTACCCCTTTTTTCCAAGGTCTGTGCTGCACATTTCACATTCAATATTGAGTCCCCAATCCCTGAGGTTTCTACCTCCACCTTCTGGGATGACTTTGTGGGAAGCCGCTTGGGCAGGTGGTGCCGTGTGATGCCTGGCACAGCAGTGAGCACCGGTTTTTCTGCCACTTGAGTATTGCGAGAGGCTACATCTCCCCGAAGGGGTGTCAAGACTGACTTTTCCTTCTGTGAGGCTCCCCTCTCCTGCTGTTTCTGCACGTGCTTCTCTCTCATGGTCTCACATCTCTTGACTTGAATTTTAGTAATGTCAACTCCTGTGGTCTCGTCTGAAGCCTGTGGATAAATTTAAATGACAGAATTAAAACCTAATACCTCTAATAACCTATACGGTAATTATTATTTATAAAGTACCAGGCTAACATCTAAGTTAAGCAGAGTCTGACATGATCCAGAATCTGAGAGAAAAACTCTTTACTTGATACTAAGTAGACAATATCCTTCTAAAAAAGAAAGATTAAAGATGTGTGGAACAATAAAAACCCAGATTGTACAGGCTGTAAAACCATGACTCTAAATCAAATACTAAGGACTTCTAAATAATTAGACACTTGCACAAAGACTGATGTACAAAGATATTCATTATTTACAATTGTGTAAAAACAAATCTAAATGTCCAGAAACAGATTATATTCATGTAACAGAGTATTATGTGGTTGGTAAAAGCAAATGTCTTGAATTATGAATATGGTAAAGTTAAAGCAGGCTGCAAAATGATACACTGTAGAGTTCTCAATTACGCTCTAAACATTAAACAAACTCACATTCATGCATATATATATAAAAAAACTCTTGAAGAAATCCATCAAAAAAAAAACCAATGGTGGTTATATCTGGGTTATATATTATAGAGTTTGTTCATTCTTCTGAAAAATAAAAATTTCCAAGTTTTGTGTGGTACACAGCATTACTTTCAAATGTAGGGGGGAAACTGTGTAAAAAACATTAATAATCAATTAAAAAAACTTTTTAAGAGCAGAGAATACTAACATACATAGAACTATAGCAAACAGTCTTAAAAAAAAATTTTTAAGTATAGGCTGGGCATGGCAACTCATGCCTGTAATCCTAGCATTTTGGGAGGTTGAGGCAGGAGTGATCGATCACTTCAGGCCAGGAGTTTGAGACCAGCCTGAGCAACATACTGAGACCCTATCTCTACAAAAATTTAAATATTAGCCAGGCGTGGTGGTGCACACCTGTAGTCCCAGCTACTCGGGAGGCTGAGGCAGGAGGACTGATTGAGCCCCGGAGTTGGAAGCTGCAGTGAGCTGTGATGTTGCCATTGCACTCTAGCCTGGGTAACAGGGCGAGACCCTGTCTCAAATTTAAAAAAAAAGAAAAATTATAGAGAAAGACTGTTTACCTAATGTAGCAGTGAAGTGTCAAGTAGAAATTTACGTAAGCTAAAACTGAAAAGCACACCTAGCCTTTGTCATGGACAAAACCATACGATGATCTTAAATGAACTCACCTCTTTGGCTTCTGTTCTAGGAACACTGCTCTGAGAAGCAACTTCACTTCCTTCCTGAAGTTTCTTCTCTTCCTTCATTCCTATAGTCACATCAAAGACATCATTATTTATTTCATTTAGGCTGCAACTTCATGACAGACGAAGTTAAACAAAACTTTACTGGACAAATAAAATTATAGATGAAACCTACTGGTCCTTATATAAAGTCTAAAAATGCACATTAAAAAAGCAAATGTCTATATAGTGCTGCTGTAAAGAAACAGCTTAACTTCATTTAATTCAGTGGTTTTAAAAGTTATCTGAGTAGGCCGGGCACGGTGGCTCACGCCTGTAATTCTAGCACTCTGGGAGGCCGAGATGGGAGGATCACTTGAGCTCAGGAGTTCGAGACCAGCCTGAGCAAGAGTGAGATGCCATCTCTACTCAAAATAGAAAAAATTAGCTGGGCATGGTGGTGCACGCCTGTAATCCTCCCTACTGGGGAGGATGAAGCAGGAGGATTGCTTGAATCCAGGAGTTTGAAGTTGTTGTGAGCTAGAGCCACAGCACTCTAGCCCAGGTGACAGAGCAAGACTCTGTCTCAAAAAAAAAAAAAAAAAAAAAAAGTTATCTGAGTAAAGAAAAGTTGTCAAAGAACTCCCAGGAAGATCCCATGGACCACTCCTTTGGAGTATTATTTAGGGAAGTGGTACTATAGATGAGGCTTTCTTGTTACCTGTTCTTTTGGTGATTCGGAGCAACCGCCTTGCCCCCGGGTTGACTTCGTGTTGAGGCTGGAAGCTGGTGCTGCTCTCAGAGCTCTGCTGCACCCTCAGTGCCTTCTCCAGTTTAATTTCCTCCAGTGTCTTGATGTGCACCTCCTGCATAGACTTTGTTCTACCTGCAGGCTCCTCCGATTGTCCTTTGCTTGTGGCAACTATGGGTGGCAAAACCACTGTTTTTTTAATTTCACTGTCAATCTTTAGCTTGATGCAAGTTGCATCCTTTTTGCATTTTTGTCTTTCTGCTTCCTGCTGCCGATGTTTTTTTTCAGCCAGGACCTCAGAGAAGGTTTTGATTCGGATAGTGGAAGAACTTCTTGTTCCTGAAGTAGAATCATCAGCTTTTGAAGGTCCTTCTGTCTTGAGTTTAGTTTGCAATTCTCCACGTTTCTGACTGGCTCTTTCAAGAAGAATTTCTTCTAAAGTCTTCACGTGGATCTCACCAACTTTATTAACTCTCTCTGTTTTAATGGGGGAAAAATACGGCATTGTACTTGGAGTTCATCTCTTAATGACTTGAGAGGTATCATTTAGGCAGGCAATTAAAATAATAAAAAAATGTAACATTAAATTTCAATCTCAAATTTAGATTACTGCATGTTTCAGGTAGTGGCCCTCAAGGAAAACTCTTAGGAGGCAAAAATTGGTGATTTATATTTCTATTCAGAAGTGTATTCTTGAGGAACCTGAAAGCCATTTACTCGTTAGAGAAATCTGTTGTCATAAATCTTATCAATAAATTCTTCCATTCACTCATGGATATAAACATGTGTCGGACACTGTGTTAGAAATATAATGGTAAGCAAAATACAATCTTTGTCCACATGTAGTTATAGTCTAACAGACAGATCAATAACGAGACAAGCAAGAACAAAGTACAGTAACGACAGCTGCTTTGACAAACAAAATATATATATAGCATGTAGCAAGAATACCAATTCTTGTCTAGGAACTGGTTAAGGAAAACTTTTCAGAGGAAGTTATCTTTAAGCAGTATTTAAAGGATGAAAAAGAAGGTCAAACAGGTGACAAGATAGGGTAAAAAAATGAGAAAGGCCCAGAGACTGACATGTCACTGAAGAGCTATTTTTAATGATACACTCATCATTCTACATCAGTCTAAAGAGCAAACTTCATACTCGACAGGATCATTCATTATTGAAAGACTAAGAAAAGAAATAATGAAGTGATGTGGAATAAACAAGAATAATTTACAGATTAAACATATACATAATTAATCAGTGAATAACAGCTTTTAATGAAAGATTAAAAGAAAAAATATCCTTTCAAAATCTTAAATATACAGTGCTCTGTCTCACTTTCTGAACCTTTGAATATACTGTCCTCTCTACTTGGAATAGTCCCTATTGGTCTCACTTCTCTTGCTGCCTGGTTTAGTTTTAATTGAAGTCAGCTTAGAACCTGATATCCTCCAATCTGGTTTGTGTCTCTGATCACAGCACTGAACACAGAGCACTGTAATTGCCTGTATCTCAAATCATACTAAAAACTTCATGAGAACAGAGACTATATTCAGTTACTTGCACTATTTTAGTTTAGTACCTGTTACAAAGGGAAACACTCACTCACTGAATTATTTAAGTTTTTAAATAAAAATTGTAAATTCTTCCATCTCAAGATGACAGATTAATCTCGAAATTCTAACTCCAAGAAAGTACAATACGAATGATGTCATGGACACCCTATTTCCCTCTCCTACCAAAATTTCACCAAAATGATAGAGAAAAACATTAAAAATAAAATAAAACCACAGTAGAAATGAGAAACAAGGATGCCACTGGCAAAGTATAAATCTTGAAGAATTTCTGAGACAGAAAGCAGATGTTTGAATTTATAGAAAAATGGAAAAAGAATAGTTCAAACTGCAGGCATGAGATCCGTTCTTCCCAACAGAGTCAAAGAAACTACCAAACTTGGGTCAACTAACATGAAAAAAAATAGTGGGCTCTGACATAACCTTAGGGTAGAAATTTAGGGACTGCCTGTAGAAGAGCTGGGTCAGTCATGACCTTCTCCTGAGAAGTGCTCCCCTAAAAAGAGGAGAGTCTGCCCAAGTAGAGCACATTATGAGGATGTTCGGGCTGGAGAGAAGACCATGACAAGGGGAGGGAGGGAGGGAGGGAGAGACAGAGAGAGAGAAAGAAGGAGGGAGGGAGGGATAGAAAAGTAAATAGCCTTGAAGCTTATTTGCTACTCAAAAAAAAAAAAAAAAAAAAGCCAAGTTAAAATAGCAAAAAAGTTACTTCCACTCTGAAAGTAAATAAAGTCTTTCTTACTGTAGCAAGTGTATGGGTCCCCAGCCTTCCCACCTGTAATCCACACAAACTGCCTTTTAACACACCCTCTCCTCTTAACCAGACATAAATCAAGTCTCACAGTCAGGATAGAGGACAACTTGGGGAAAAGGCCTTTAGAACCACAGAGGAAACCCAGGCCAGGTACTTCCAACTGTGGAAAAACAACAACATTAAAGAATTTAATCAGAAATCCCAGAGTAGCCTAAAATCAGGCTGTGAAAAAAGGAAAAATCAGAGAAAAAAAGATACTGAAAAATAAAAACACAAGTGCCAAAATAAATTTCATTTGAAGGACTGAATAATGTTAATAAAAAAGACAAGACTGGCCCAAAATCAGCTCTCTAGAACAGAGCAGGCAAACATTAGCCCATGGGCCAAATATGGCCACCAGCTGATTTTGTAAATATTGTAAATAAAGTTTTGCTGGAACACAACCACACTCATTCATTTACAGATTGCATACATAGGCATATAGCTGCTTTCACAACACAATGGCAGAGTTGAGTAGCTGTGACACTGCAGACTGAAAAGCCTCAAGTACTACTCTCTGACCCCTTTCCAAGTTCTTAGACTCAAAGGGCCCACTCAACACTGGGAAAAATGAACAAAAAAGATCCATGTTTAGATCCACAATAGTGAACTTACAGCGTATGAGGGAGAGATAAAGAGAAAATCCTAAAAATTTCTGAATAATACATTCAGGTTGTCTACAAAAGCGTAAGAATGTCCAACATTAGATTCCTTTTTTATGACGACAGGAAAAAGGAAAAGTAACCAAGAAGGCTAATACTACTCATAAACACAGATGTAGCATTTTTTAAAAATCCTACACAAAAAGCCTCAAACTAAATCCAGCAATGTATTAAAAGAAGATGGATAGTTGAGTACATAGATGTTCATTTTATTATTCCTTAAATTGTACTTATATACATGCTTATGTAGTTATAATTCATAATTTTAAAAGTTTAAAAATTATAGTATAGGAAGAATATAAAGAAGAAAATTTAAGTTATCTAAAATCTTAATATCCAGATAAAACAAATATTAACGTTTTTGCAGGATTTTTAAGGCACATAGTCATATCTTTACAGAACTGGAATCATCTCATACATATGGCTATTTCTCCTGAAAATAAGTTCCTATGATAAAATAAACTCCCTTAAAAAAGATTCTTATGTAAATCAAAAGGTCAAAAGTGGTACATGTTCTTTTGTAACCCTTCTATTTGATACCATGCAATTTGACTTTTCCATGTCATTATTGTTCAGAATATGACTTTTCAGGATAGCAATTATTTTAGCACCTAACTACAATAATTTTATATAAACCATTTTTGCTGGATATTTAGGTTGTTCCTAATTTTCCACTATTAATACTATGATGAATATTCATTCTGCCATCTATAAGTACAAAACAGGAATTCATACCAGTGAGTAATCTATTACTTTTACAACAAAAATAGAACCACAAAGAACCAAAAACACAGGCCCTAACCTAATTGCAATAGGTAAATCAGAGAAAAGGCAAAGACTCTCATGGCAAGGAGAAAAATATCAGAACCTGGTCTTAGGATTTACTTACCAGTTGCCTCCTCATTATTGGGAACAGCTGACATGCCTAATCGCTCTTTCAGAGACTTAGAAACTTGAACTATAAAAAGAAAGAATTTCAAAAAGCAAAAGTTGAACAGAGACTTTCTACAGGTCAAATATCTTTTTCAAAGTTCATAAATTAGACTACACTTCTAATAAAAATGTTTAAAAAAAAAATCCAGTCATACATTTTTCTTCTCTACAGAACATATTTATGTGAATCATGGAATCCTTAGAGCACTCTGGAAAGCTTAAAAAAACCCACAACTTTCTTTGTATCTGAAAAGCTGTACTACTGAATTCAAGAAAATAATTTTGTTACTGGATGATCTTCCAAAATCTTATTGCCAACAAATATTTTTCCCCCTAAATCTATTGAAATATGCTCTTTAGCTGTGAAAATCTTCATGATTGATAGGCAAAGACAGATTCCAAACAGGAACATCTGCTCATCAAAGCCTCTTAGGCTGGAGGGAAAGTGGACAAAAGTGTCTTATCTTCAAGGCAAGTTAAAACTAAACACAATGAGAAGGAAAAAAAACACCTACTCTTTAGTAATTAACCCCAGTGATTCACTGCAAGTCATACAAGGGGGAAAAAAATCCAACACTTGATTTCTTTCTCTCCTTCAACTATAAACCATTCTAACTCCCAGATATCTCTTGATTTAGTCCACATGTTTTCAAACCAACTTCTAGGACACTAAGTTTATGCCAATACTACCTCCTCTTATCTGGATTATTTTAACAATCTGCTAACTCATCTCCCAGCCATTGTGTTTGTCCTCTTCTACTCTTTCTCCATATTGCAGGCAGGGTAATGGTTTTAAAATCTGAAACTTTGATCCCTGTTTACAACCTTTCAATGGGTTGTTACTATCTTAGGATAAGCCCAAACTCTCTAACATGACTTAAAGCCTCTATATTATGATCCAGTCCCTCCTCCCCCTCTGGACACCATGCTCTTCAGCCCGTTTCTGTGTTTCAGCCATACTCAGTGTTCTTTGAGCTCATCACACTTTCTTAACTCTGTGCCTTGCAGAAGTTATTCTCTTTGCCTGAAACACAAACCCTGTCCCTCCAATTTCGCAGGGCTAAAATCCCAACTCATGTTTCAGGTCTAAACTTTAACATCACTTCCTCTGCGACCCTTTCCATAACAGATGGTAATAACAGGAGCCCTTATTATATGTTCTCACAGCACCATGTACTTTTCTCTGTCACAGAATTGATCACTTGCCATTATACTCTAAGCTTCTAAGGAGTGTGATGGTGTTTATTTTGTTCAATGGTGTCTACCCAGAATCTAACAGAGTAAGCAATCAAATGTTTGTTGAATGAATAATAAAATAGAAGATGATAAACTAATTTAACTGAACAAGAGAATGACAAACCATAGCTGTTAACATTACAAAAAACAACTGTCAAAATTACATACACAAGGTATTAGAACTAAAGTACCTTTCTTTGGTGTTTTGTCAGTGTTAATTTCTGGAGTTTCAACTTTCTTCCCTAGCCTCTGTGCAAGGCTACGCTTTAATGGAAGATCACTGTCACCACCTACAAATAGGGAGAACTTAGTTTAACATTTGAAGTCAATCTTCAGTGAGGTCAAGAAATATAAGCAAACACAAACAATGTAGAATAATTCCGTAAGTTTCATGTATTTATGTGGTGTGTTTGTTCACCAGTTTCCTTAGAACTCAATGTTAGAGAAGGAATAAAAATGGCATAGAGGCCAGGTACAGCAGCTCATGCCTGTAATCCTACCACTCTGGGAGGCCAAGGTGGGAGGATCGCTTGTGCTCAGGAGTTAGAGACCAGCCTGAGCAAGAGTGAGATCTCATCTCTACTAAAAATAGAAAAATTAGCCTGATGTCGTGGTGTGCGCCTGTAGTCCCATATACTTGGGAGGCTGAGGCAGGAGGATCGCTTGAGCCCAGGAGTTTGAGGTTGCTGTGAGCTAGGCTGATGCCACGGCACTCTACTAAGAGCAACAGAGTGAGACTCTGCCTCAAAATAAATAAATAAATAAATTTGTGTTTTAAGCCTAGTACCTTCTAAAAAGTTAGTCATGGCACTAATTTAATTAAATTGTAATGCTTTACATTTCTGTAACTTCAATAAAAGGTATAATGCACACATGAAAAACATGAGAAAATTTTATAAGTGCTTTCAGCCAAGAATACAGGGGGACTGTCAATATTGATGGGATCCGAATAAAGAGTTTAGAGAAGGTATCATGTTAGTGCAAAAGGAAGCAGAAAACAAAAGATGCGCACAAAACTTATCTCACCTACTGGAAATTTTCGTTTCCCTAGTCTCTCGGTAAGACTCAATCGAACCAACGGTTCTTCTCCTGAAATAACAAAAACAGAATTTCTCTACTACTAGCCAATTCTTTCTGTATTCAGAAACTACTAACGGGTACAAAGTATGCTCTGATGTTAGTATGAGCCCACCCGGAAAGTCTCTTGAAAATCAGGTCCCAGTCTTAAGGAAGATTATTGCATTAAAAAAAAAAAACCCTATTAATAATAATTTAAATAGCCAAATGCACACAATAGCACGGTACTAATTATTAATAGCAGCCAAGCATAAGGAGAGAGATTGTGTTCTTAGCCAATTGGTTATAAAACCCAAGTTAAACTTTTGCTTATGCACTTTGATATGTTAAATGAAATCATACCCTACTCCAATATTAGCTCTCCTATATCTTCCTTTCATCACCCCCCAGCAAGAAGTAAGCTCTCCTTCTTCTGATTCTTTGTTGTCTGAATGGCACAAATGTTTAAATGTATCTATAGCTATGAGTCCTTACTAGGTTTAAAATTATTAAGTGAAAAGACTTTTACATTTTTCTGTAACTCAAAGAGTTTATATTAAAGTTTTCTACCCACAAAGGGAAGTCGATAAATTTGTTGAATGGATACAAACAATAAATGTAAATTAAGTATACATAAATGTGAAGGCTGCTTGAATTAAGAATTTCAACCAAATAGAGTCAAATGCACCAACTTTTCATCCTTATATCCAACCAACATACTAAAGTCTTACTGCAAATTCATCAAAGGTAAAAAATATCCAAGGATTTTGCATTTCCAATCATATAAAAGTAGAAACCTGACAACTCTGAGACCTACCTATACCTTCCTTACCTTGTTTGCTGGACAGAGTTACTGTCCTCACCACAGTCCGGACATTCTCTTTTTCAGGACCTGGAATGGGCTGAGGATGGAGTAAAAGACTGGAAACTCCTGAAGAACCTTCTGAATAAGGCAAGTCAAAGAATAGCAAATGATTTATGGAAAATAAAACTATCACAAGACAAAAAATTTTGTTTTTGTAACCAGTTAAGTCCAATACAGTTTGATATAGTCCTGCTATAACAAAGCCAATCAGCCTTTTTTAAATCTGTTTTCCTACAATGAAATGGGGTAGTGGTGGGGGGAGCCTGGGGCACAATGTGAAAACAAAATAAAAAAACTATTTGGACGGACTTAGGCGCTCAACCTCCTTTTATTTATCAATGAGGCTAACATCATTCTAAAGTTACCCTCAGAAGTACACCAGACATCAGGCATGTCAATCCAAACCAATCCTTTCCATCTAAATTTAATCATCTGCAAAACATAACTCCACAGTTCCCACAGAACAAGCTTTAATAAGAGGATTCTTAGACCCAACCACTTATCTCTATGTATACTACATTTCACACTATAATTTTTAGGGTTAGAAATACAGATCAACCAAGTTGAGGCCAACTCTGGAAGAAAATCCTAGCAGCTCTTGAGAAAGAACTCCTCTACTACAAAATGAAATTTTTCCTCTTTTATTATAGTTCTTATATTGTGTTCGTTAGAGTTATAGTTCCCAAGATACACAGGTTCTTTCAGGTTCTTTATTACATGTGTCTAGTTCTGAATAGAGACTGAAACCAGCTGCAATGAATTAAAAAAGCAACTATGATTTAAATAAATCTGTGTTTTACTTCAAACAAGCCAAAGAAATCAAAATCATTTTGCTAATTTTGGCTGTTGCCTCCGCAAAGTATCCTTATCATTCTTCTCTAGCAACATACAACCATCCATGCCAAACTTATGACTTACCACCTTGCTTCTTTGATTTTTCTTTCATTTTCTTTGATTTAATTTCCTCAAGAGTTTTTATTCCAAAATTCAAACATTCACCTGAAAAACCCAAATAGAAATCACATGAGGAATGAGGGCCTTTTCACCTTTGCATTTTATCTGTACAAAGCAGGCATTCAAGTATCTTTTGAAGAAATGATCAAGAGAAAGCATGCGTGTATAGCATTCCCTCATGAAACTGAAATTTAGGTCAATGATTGTGAACTAAATTTCAAAGGCAGTTAAAATACTGTGGACACATTCAATAGTGCCATAAGATTTAGCACCAATACAGCCTCCTCTTACCCTGCTTTAAATTGACCCCAGGTTTCCGGGCAGAAGCCACTCGTAATCCATTATGAACTTCAGGACTCGGTTGCAGGGTAGGTGTTTTGGTTTCATCACTTTCCTCAGAAAACTGATCTATGTGTCAACATTTAAGGGAAATGCAATTAAAAACAGGCCTAGAGCATTAATCCTGATTCTGCCCAATTCACCATATGACCCTGACTATTTGCTTTAAAGTAAGAGCTAAAACTTACCATCATCATCTTCATCATCATCTGCAGCATTAATTACAACTGGTGGATGTGTGGGGCTAGGAACATTTTCGGAACTTTCTACTTTCATAACACTCCGCAGCTGAGGGGAAGGATTAGACTGGACAGACAGTTTGTTCTGCTGAACTGCGAGTTGGCTAGCCTTCACTTCCTCTTCTGGTGACTCAGGCACAGTGGGCAACACAGCTAAACATACAAAATCGGTCATAAATTAAAAATAGAAGATACAATCCCAATTCTCTTAAACAAAAATCCCTGGCTACCTATGATAAATTCATGCATTTTCCTTATGAGTACTTATGCCTTTTTACCTAATTTACCCATTTAGATTCTTAACTCCCAGGAAGAGAAAACGTGCTTTTAGCTAGTAACTCTTCGTTATACATGAACACACCCAAAATACAGAAGGCTAGATGCCTAGTACCTGTTTACAAATTCTAAATTTTTAATTTTAATGTTAAAATTCTAGGCTTTTTGCTTAGCAAAAAAAAAAAAAAAGCTTTTAAGAGATAATAGCTGGGCCCAAGTGGCTCATAATCACAGGACTTTGGGAAGCTGAGGTGGAAGAATCACTGGAGCCCAGGAGTTCAAGACCAGCCCAGGCAACATAGCGAGACTCTGTCTCTACAAAACAATTTTTCAAAATTAGCCAGGCATGGTGGCACGTGCCTGTAGTCCTAGCCACTCCAGAGCTTGAGGCAGAAGGATCGATTGAGCCCAAGAGTTCAAAGTTACAGTGAGCTATGATCACACCACTGCACTGCAGCCTTGAGCAACAGAGCAAGACCCAGTGTCAAAACAAACAAACAAGTAAACAACAAAAAAAAAAAAAAGGAGAAAGAGAGCTATAGCAGATGACACTTATTTGAACCAAACCAGAAAGGAGTCTACTTTTTTCCTTAAATAGAGGTGAAAAGATGTAGTCACGAAGTTTTAATCATATAGCAGATAGCAGATATGACTTTTAAACAGCTAATCCCACTTTTAAATCTATTTAAAAGGGATTTTGGAAATAAATATTAGCTTTTTGTAGAGTATGAGTTGTATTTTGGATTACAGCCTACAGCAGGGTTGTCTAACTTTTTCTGTAAAGAGCCACATAATTAATATTTTGGGCTTTGTGGGCCAAAGAGTCTCTGTCTCAACTGCCTAACTCCAGCAGTGGCACAAAATTGGCCATAGAAAATATGTAAACAAATAGGCAACACTGCATTCCAATAAGACCTTATTTTACAAAACAAGCAGAGGACCGGATTTGCCAATCCCTGGCCTAGAGAATCAAGTTTCTTTTGAAAACCTTTATGGGTCTGATAAGAAAATGGGAAATTAAGTAAACTATAGTAATTTAAACTGGCATGCCAAGATACACTTGGTTCTACGGCCATGTACTAACCATTTAACCTTAGGTAAGGTTCAGTTCCCTCATGTGTAAAGTGGAAATAATACTTTTTTTCACTAGACTGAAAGAAGGCAATGTGTAAAAAGTACTTTGTACAGTGTGCATAATAGGTGTACATTTAGTAACAATTATTGTTTTAAAATTAAAACTGGATCTCACTTTTGCTTGGAGGTAGGAAGAGACCATCAACATAACGTCCTCTGTTGTGATGGAAAGCGCAGTTTAGTTTTTGACATCCCACTGGCTGATTTTCCCAATAACAAGGTATTTCACTGCGTTTTTTCTGCAAAAAGGAAGAACACATTGTTTTCAAATAAAAAATGAAGTCAGTCCTGTATTAATTTGGTAATTTGTTTACTGGACAAAGTTTATACAGGGTTCAAAAATCTGAGGCATGTAAGATGAATTTTAGGAGGAAAAGAGGTTGCTAAAAGTGACATACTTTAAGGCATGAAGGAGATGAAAGGAACGAGGAAGCAGTTTATCTGCTATTCTTTCCTCTTTGCCCTCATCCTGGAACCCCTAAATGTCTATGCTTAATTTAGAGAAGCAGGCTGATACAGTAGTTAAGATTATAAAATCAAAGATAATAGGGTTTGAATCTCTATTATGCTACTTGCTGGCCATGCGAAGGTGGACAATATACTGCCTCTAAGCCTCACTTGCCTTAGCTATAAAATGAGAATAGTAGTAGCTATCTAACTGGTTTCTTATAGGGATTAAATATTAGATCATTAAATATGAAATGTCTGATTTCCAATCAAAAGTTTAGTTTATTGGCTGGGCGCGGTGGCTCACGCCTGTATTCCTAGCTCTCTGGGAGGCCGAGGCGGGCGGATTGTTTGAGCTCAGGAGTTCGAAACCAGCCTGAGCAAGAGCGAGACCCCGTCTCTACTAAAAATAGAAAGAAATTATCTGGACAACTAAAAATATATATATAGAAAAAATTAGCCAGGCATGGTGGCGCATGCCTGTAGTCCCAGCTACTCGGGAGGCTGAGGCAGGAGGATTGCTTGAGCCCAGGAGTTTGAGGTTGCTGTGAGCTAGGCTGATGCCACGGCACTCTACCCAGGGCAACAGAGCCAGACTCTGTCTCAAAAAAACAAAAAAAACCAAAAAAAACAAAAACAAAAGATATGTACCTAAACTATTGACACAGTTTTGTCATCTTAATGATTAGCTTATTTATGCCAGCAGTGAAGAAGCTTGGACAGCAAATGGCGATGAAATCAAGAAAGGCGTTTTCCACAGCTTGTTGAGAACTGAATATTCTGCCTTGCAAGAAGTGGTCCAAAGCCTGGAAAAAGTGGTAGTCAGTTGGTGCAAGCTCTGGTGAATATAGTGGATGATAGAGAGTTTCCAAGTTCAGCCTCTATAGTTTGAGCAGCATTGTTTGTGTAACACATGTGGTCAAGCGTTGTCTTGCAAGAGGATTGGCCTGTCTCTCTTGACCAATCTTGGCTGCTTAATCGCAAGAATCCTCATCATTTTATCCAGCTGATTGCAGCAGACATCCGCTATAATGGATTGACCAGGTTTCATGAACCTGTAGTTGATAATACCAGAGGTGGGCCACCAAACAGACATTATTAGCTTTTTCTGATGAATATTCGGTTTTGGACTGTGTTCTGGGACATCACCTTTTTTTTCCCAAACAGAGTCTCAGTCTGTCACCTGGGCTAGAGTGTCGTGGTGCCAGCCTAGCTCACAGCAACCTCAAACTCCTGGGCTCAAGTGATCCTCCTGCCTCAGCCTCCCAAGTAGCTGGGACTACAGGTGTGAACCACCATGCCCAGCTAATTTTTTCTATTTTTAGTAGAGGTGGGGTCTTGCTCTTGCTAAGGCTGGTCTCGAATTCCTGACCTGAAGCAATCCTCCTGCCTTGGCCTCCCAGAGTGCTGGATTACAGGTGTGAGACACCGTGCCCAGCTGGCATGTCATCTTTATCCAACCATTGTGCTGAACGTTTGCGATTGTCAAAAAGAATCCATTTTTCATCACGTGTAACAATATGGTGTAAAACTGGTTTGTCTTCATTGTGTCAGCAAAGACAAGCTTCGAGACAATTTCTCTTGTGATGTTCCTTTAATTCATGCAGTATCCATCTCTCCAGCTTTTTTACCTTGCCCGTTTGTTTCAAATGATTCACTATTGTTCGAATAGTAACGTCAAACCTTGCTGCTATTGAGAGAGCTTCTCATCATTACCCATCTTGATCTCAGGTTGCCCACGTGGCTCATTTTCAGGATTAACATCACCAGAATAGAACTTCTTGAACCACTGACATACTGAGCATTCATTAGCCACATCCTTCCCAAACACTTCATTGATGGTTTCAAGCTGTCTGCATAGCATTGGTTCCACAATGAAACTCATATTTGAAAATAACATGAATTTTTGACTTATCCATGGTTTCACAAAAATTGTTCTAAAAAAAACTTTGAAAGATAATCACAAGCCAAACCATGCATTTGAAAGAGTGAGGATGTACCCTCACAATAAAAATAAAACAAGAAGTGTCTAAATTACACCAGTTCCTTATTGAACAAGGTAAAAAAAACAAAATAAAAAAGAAGTGTCTAAGTGAAATATCAGAGATAAATTGTCAAAATTTAGTACTTAAGGAAATCGGATATTTCATTCTTAATAATCTAGTGTGTGTGTGTGTGTGTGTGTGTGTGTGTGTATACATATATATAAAGCACTTAGCACATAGAATAAACTCAATAAACTGCAGCTATTACTTGAAGCTGAGAGTTCAGGCTTTAAGAAAAATTTTTCCATTATTCTCACAAGTAAAGCACATGTAACTGTATCCTTCCCAAGCCACCTCACTCTTATAAAGGAAAACAGGAAAAAAAAAAAAAAAAAAAAGAATATCTGCACCCCTAAAATAAACTGCTGGATTATAGGATATATGTCCAAGAGAAATGTATACATGAGTTCTTAAGAATGTTTAAAGCAATACTATTTGCAATACCTTCAAAAATTTACAGACAGCTCAGATGTACATCAATACTAGAATGTTATCCAGTAATGAGAAGGAATAAGCCATACAACAATGTATTCATACAATAGAATGTCATCCAGTAATGAGAAGGCCATTGCTACACTTAACACCGCAGATGTAGAATGAAAGAAGTCAAATACAGAAGACTGCATAGTGTATGATTCCATTTATGTCAAGATCAAAACAGTCAAAACTTTTATGTGATAGGATGGCGATTAGCTTTAGGGATGCGGTTGGTGACAACAAAGATGAATGGAGAAGACAGAGTACTATTAATGTTCTATTTCTTGAACTGGGTGCTGGTCAAATAAGTATATTTACTTTGTGAAAATTCTTCAAGTTGTAAGATTATGATGTGTACTTTTCTGTATATACTTTAACAAATGATTCAATAAAGACAAAAAAAGACCTGAGAAGCACTTCTGAAAAGTTACTAACCTCTGATTAATAAAGTACATCATCTTGGATCTTTCATTGTAATAAGCAGCCTAAGGTTTAAAATTCCAGAAAAAACAGCATTACTTCAGAAATTTAAAAGTATGCAGAACAAAAAAAAAGTATGGAGAACAGAAACAATGCAACAATGACCATCACAAAAGATGTATCAAAATAGGCAAATATCAGAGTCTACTGTATTGAGAGATTGGTAAGTCCACAATACACTGTGTTAGTAGGGATGTGAAAGAATCAGGAAGTCTCATACACTTAATGGAAATGTAAATTAGCTCAACATCTCTGAAAGGCAACTTGGCAAAAGCTGTTTTTAAAAAATGTATGTTCTGAGTTTACTGGCACATGCATAAATAATTATCTATTTTTAAAAAGTCCAGCAAATGCCTTTACCTTTCAAAGAGCTAGATAGAATTTATTAATCCCCTGTCACACCCAAAAGGGAGGTGTAATATTACACACGCTATCATTATTTTTAAATGTACATCAGTCCAAAGTCATTAGATGGGGATGAAGGAGGTAGGCATTCATCTGGGGGGAGGGACAAGGTGGCCCAGAGCAGAGTGTGGGAGCCTGATTGAGGTGAGAAAGGTATCCACATGACCAGGTGGAACTGGCGTAGGGTGTTGGAACCCATGAGGGGTTAGGAAGACATGCATGAGAGGGTACCCTGGCAGGTATTGAGCCTGAGAAGGGTGGGCAAGGCTTCTGTGCAGAAGGGATCTCAATGCAGGGTGAGGAAGGTATATTCGTGGAGGGTCATCCTGAAATGAACATCAAAGACCAAGCAGGGGAAGGGCACAGTGGCTCACACCTGTAATCCCAGCATTTTGGGAGGCAGAGGCAGGAGAATCGCTTGAGGCCAGCAGTTCGACACCAGCCTGGGCAACACAGTGAGACCCTATCTCTACAGAAATTTTTTTTTTGAGACAGAGTCTCACTCTGTTGCCCTGGGTAGAGTGCCGAGGCGTCAGCCTAATTCACAGCAACCTCAAACTCCTGGGCTCAAGCAATCCTATTGTCTCAGCCTCCCAAGTAGCTGGGACTATAGGCATGTGCCACCACGCCTGGCTTATTTTTTCTATATATTTTTAGCTGTCCAGCTAATTTTTTTCTATTTTTTTTTAGTAGAGACGGGGTCTCACTCTTGCTCAGGCTGGTCTCAAACTCCTGAGCTCAAATGATCTGCTTGCTTCGGCCTCCCAGAGTGCTAGGATTACAGGTGTGAGCCACCGCGCCTGGTCTACAAAAAATTTTTTAAAAAGACCAAGCAGGGTAAAGAAGGCAGGGTCTTCCCAAGGAGACCTGGTGCAGGGTCAGAGTATGAGCTGGGTGAGGAGAGCATTTCACATGGGAGAGCTGCCCAGCACTGAGTATTAGAGCCCAAGGGTATAAAAACAGCACCCATTGTGGGGAGTCAAAAGGAAGATGTTGGGATCCAAGCAGGGTGAGGAAGGGGTTCTCCATGGTGGAACAAGTGGAGAGGCTTGGCAAAGGGTACCGGAGTCGAAACAAAGTGAGCAAGGAGTCCTTGTGATGGAGCAGCTTTGTGCGTGATGTTCGAACCTGAGAGGAAGGAAGAGGCTGTGATTCGGTATTTATTTACATACTAGGAGACTGATCAAATAGGTAAAAGTATTAAGGACAATGGGAACCAAGTTCTTCATTTCTGGAAAAGAGAGTGATGGGTATGGGAAAAGAGAAGCCTAGATTAAATCCTGTGGTATTGGTGAACTGGAATCATCTATGCAAACTCATGATTTTTAATCATACGTAGACATGTAGACACAAAACCACAAAGACACATAAACACAAAGGAATAAATAATGATGTAAATGTCTATGTGTATATACACTTATATGTTCCCTAGCTCTGTCCACTGAACCTGAAAGCAATGACACTCCATGAGCAACCCAAATCTTAATTTCTACATACCATTCTTCACTAAAAGCGAACCAGGGCACCTTGGAGAAATGGCTGATTCCAGGGTTGTAGTAGGAAAAGTGTAGTATGAGCTTGGAAGAATCTTATTAGGCCAAAAAGCAAAGAGGTGCTCAAATGATAGAAACCAAAGGAAACAAAAATCAGCCTGAAGAGCTCCTACTGTCCAAATCCGGGTTAATTTAAACATAAAAATAAATAACATAGTAATGGACTATGACACTGAATAAAATAGGATACCATGAATTTGTGCTAATACAAATAAATAACTGAAAAAACAAGTGAAGGTTTGATGAGAAATAGGATATTTAGAGGGTCTTAAAGTACTTCCCCACAAAATACTTATTAATTACAAAAAGAAAAACTTTACAGTGAAGCAATCTGGCAGATACCATCTTAATCAAGTAATCAAATTAGCACTACCAGTAATGGAAAATTAAAACTGTATGCCACCTGAAGGCATACAATGAAAAGAGTATTACTTCTGTGATATTCCTACTAAAGATACACAATCTTAATTCAGTAATGAAGAAATACAAATAAACCCAAATTGAGGGACACTCTACAAAATAACTGGCTGTAACTGACAAAAGTGTCAAGGTCAATGAAAGGTAAGAAAGAGTGAGCAACTGCTCTCAACTGAAGGAGACTAAAGGGTCACCACAACTGTGTGCAACACCTGAACTTGGACTTGCTCCTTCTACAATAATGGAGATTATTGGGACAAGTGGCAAAACTTGAATGGAATCTGAGGATTAAATGGAGGTAATATATTAATGTTAATTTTCTAATTTTGATGGTTATATTACATAGGAGAAATGTCCTTCTTGCTTATAGGATATATTCATAAAGTATTTGGAGGTAATAGGGAATATCAGCAGTTTACTCCCAAATGGCTTAAAAATTTTTTTTATACTGTGCTTTGCAACTTTTCTCTGC